CTTCCCTTCAGTTTCTCCTGCCTCTTTTTTATTGGGGTAGTGAAGGCCACTGCTGCTTCAGAACCCATGTCTCTAATATGACAGCCCAAAATTCTTGTTGAAGCTAAGTAAGCTTGTTTTTCGTTAGCTAACAACTGTGACTTCATTCCCCTGAAGTAAGCAGTGGATTCATAGTATGCTACTGCTCTGCGGGTTAGCGTCCCATAAGCTGGGGGAAAAGCATGCCTGACACTTTGCTCTTGTGGCTGATGTCCAGAAATTAGCAAAATAGCTGTCTGATATAAAAGTTGAAGGGAAAGTCTCGCATTTCCCCTGTTCCAGCCCTGTAGTCTTGCTGCTTCCCTTTGTATTTGGCGAGCATAAGGACAGGTCAGTTCAGCTGACTGGACTGACCAAATAGTGAGACTCCCCCAGAAAAAGACTATTACTATAGTCATAAAGCAAACATCCTAATAATCATTCTTCTTGTTATTCCCCTGTATGGGGAGATATCTAATGAGGTGTATAGAACTGTGCTAGAAGACCTAGGGCATCTACTTGCAGGTAGTGCAGCAGAACTCATTCTTACTGATTCAAAACAATCCATCCAAAACACAAGTTAAGGAGGAAAAACTTGTGTTTTTAACTCAGTTACTGTACTCTTTCAGCAGCACATTGCTGGAGATGGAAAAGAAGAATTAGTGTCTTATGGAAGAATACAACATCCAAAAGCAATGCAAACCCAGCATCGCCAAATTTGCACCCCAATCCAGAACACTAACAGCAGGGTCAAAACAATGTTACAAATGCATGGAATTTATAACCCCTATGTGTGATGTCATGATGACTTACTGAAAATAAAAGGCATACTGGGTGACTAAGGTTCACTCTGATTTAATACTTACTTCCATTGAATTTTAAACTCATTGGGGGAAAATACTGGAAAGGCACCTTTTTTCTTGAAAGGATCCCATTAATAAGTGTTGTGACCACTCCTTAAATGGTTTTCAGTTCATCAGTTCCCCTAAAGAATTCTCCAGTTAAGCTCATTCTGTTATGCAGATGTGTGAAATATCTTCAGGCTAGAAAAAAATTATTTCTTTTAACCTAAGTATAGACAGCTTAAATAGATATAATCTAGGCTCTTTTATCTTTATGCTTTTTTTCCAATAACCATGATATTTTGCTCACCCCTCAGATGGATAAAGTGTGTGGCTGTAAAATGGTAGTGCTTTTTGTCTGTGGGGCATGAAAACAAGAGTGTATTGGAATCCCACTGTTACAGATCTGAACCTTAAAGCATGATCTCTTAAGGTGTTCTTGTTTGACGGCATTTAATCCTGGCCACAGAAAGGCAATTCTTAAGTATTTGGTCTATAATGTGTAAGTAATACTCAGCTGAGGTGAGTAGCTTAGTAGCAGGTTACTTCTAGGTCTAACAAAAGAGAATTAACAAAATAGTGATTTGAATTAAAAAAAAAAAAAGGAAAAAAGGGACATCAGAATACAGTAATGTTATCCAGAAATCTTATGTCTTTGCATCTCACATACATTCTCATTGTTTCTTCACTCCTTTCCTGTTTGCATAGGTGAAATGGATCAGCACTTCACCTGACAAGTTGTTTTTCTTCCCTTCTCCTGAAGGGGAGGAAACTCCCTGAAACTCTTGGACTTTTTTGTTTCAGCGATACCTTGATGAAGCAGATAGAGATAAGGAGCGTTATATGCGGGAGCTGGAGCAGTATCAGAAGACTGAAGCCTACAAAGTCTTTAGCAGGAAAGCACAGGACAGACAAAAAGGCAAATCACACAGACAAGGTATTGAATGGGACAAAAATATGTGTCTAGCTAGAACAACAGAAGATTCCCAGCTAGTCATGTAGCCTGACACTCATTTAAAGCCTTTGATTTAAAGGCTTGTTAAAAAGTGAGTATGTGTTCTTTCTATGGCGTTTGCATCAGCTGTGTGTAAAATGATTAGGTTTATGTAAATTTAACTGTATCTAGATTGTATTGGAGGATGTGCATCAAAAGCATCAGTTAGATTTAGCTTTTATGTGACTTATTAGGAAAGCTGCACAAGTTTTCCGTCTGTAACTGTTGTGTAATTATGGTTGTGTAACTACTTTAATTCTTTGGTTCTTGTTTTCTCAAATCTTGTGTATTTTGGGGGATTTCTTGTTTGTTTTTTCTTTTTCAGATGGAGCAAGACAGCCAGCCCATGAGCATGAGGTAAACCTCTTCATTCTACCCTTACATCAGTGGGTAGATTTTCAGATGACAAAAGTATCTAGTGAAGTCAATAAAAACCAGTTTATGCCAGTTGAAGACCCGAATCAGAGGTTTAGAGTATGAATGCTTCCTCTTCCTATACAGTTTTTGATCAAAAGTTAGAAACAACCGAGTACTCTTATGCTTGTATTAGTATGATGAAAACTAAATTTAGTAAGTCTTGGGCAGGTACAAATGATCTAAGATGAAGTGGGAGTGTAGGGTACACTTAAAACATAGATCTGTTTTGTAATGTTAAATAATTCAATGGGAGCAAGTCAGTATAAATGAGCCTTTAAGTATCTGGCGTGTTAGAGGTTCAACATGCAAAATTTTTACTTTGAAATTTTTCAAAGCAGAGAATTTCAATTATTATTTGGTAAGTAAACGTTGAGGTAAAATTTAGAAATAGCTCAAGACCTAGATAAACCTTCCGAGTTAGCACCTTTAGGTTGGTTTTTTGAGGTACTGATTTTCTGCAGCAACATGAATGCTCGTGGCTTTCTTGAGAAGAAAATGGGTAAAGTAACCAAATCATTGGGAGATATCTGGCTTAAACCTCCTCCTGTCCCCCCTTCCCCTTTGCATATGTAAATATTGGAAAAGAGTAATAATGTCTGGAGATAAGATACCTATGCTTTAGTTGATGAGACATGTCACAAATCTTGTGCATCCTTCTGACTATGGTATCTCCTCCCTTGAAGTGCTGAAACTTTCTCCAGTTGTATTACCTAGGGCCACAGAGCTTCTTTTATGGTTACCAATAAATTGCAAACAAAAAGCAATGAAAAATCTTGTTTATACACAGCCTCTTTACTTGTAAGCAATAGGCCTTTCTGAAAGATCTGTTTTTCTTTGTGAGTTTTTTTTGCCTTGGGAAAGCAATTGAGTTGCTTTTTAATGTGTTCGTTACAATAGTGACAAGGCTGTGCACTGCTGAGGGGCAACTACTGGTCTTGTCTACTTTAAGGAAAATAAGTTTCGCTTGCAGGAAAATGCTTTGGTAGCATGTTTTCAATATGCCCTTTTATTAACTCTTAAAGGAAGTACTTGCAGTAAGATTAATCTTTAGAAGTACATGGTCCCCAGGATTTCTGAGTTTATAGTCACTGAATCTAAGTCTGTCTTTAATTGTACAAAAACAGATTACTGAAAGCTTCAAGTTCTAGGTTGACTATGACATTTACATAACCTTTAAATTATACAGGTGGCAAACTAAAAATTCAGAGTCTTACCTCTCCTTGTAACTCAAGCTATCATTGCTGAAATCTCACATCATAAATGCAGTTAAAAAGGAATCCTCTGTACCCTGTGAGGCTTTTAAGCTTCATCAGATAGTTATTGCATAGTTGAGTTAGCACCATGTTAGGCAGGCATCCTCTTCTGAAAGTCTCCACCTTCAGCTGCTTAGCATTTTTCACCTTTGTATTATAAAATTCCACATGTTTACCACCTGATATGCTTTCACATCTTTTCTGCAAGGGAGTAAAGTATTATTATATTATAATCCTGCACAGGCAAGGAACAAGCAGAAAAGATTTAGATTGCTTTTAGAAGAATATACTCAAGCTGTTACGAGAAGCAAGACTAAAGCTTTTTGTTGTCTTGCTGCTTTCTCTTATCCACATTGACTATTATTATTGTGTTTGTGATTAGTAGGTACGATCTGATTAACTTATTTCTTGAGAGAGTATAAAATCATAGAATCATTTAGGTTGGAAAAGACCTTTAAGATCATCAAGTCCAACCATTAGCCTAACACTACCAAGTCTACCACTAAACCAGTTAAGGGTATAGTAATAATTTATTTCATGTTTCCTGGCTTGGTGGCTGG